CAGACCCTGGGGACCCAGGCTCATCCATAGGGAGCCGGGCTGTAAGGCGGGACTCCAGGGAAGCAGCGAAAGGAGGTCCCGGAGGCGCGCACACTGCGCGCAGAGAAGGGCCGGCCGGCTGTGCCGCGGGATTGCCCTGATGGGAAGGAGACAGGGGCTCCAGACTGCTCTGAACGCCACCTCCAATCCCACTACCAACTGAACTGAACCCCAATACCGGACTCATTGGGGGAGAGCATAGACAGTTTGGCAGCAGGCGAAAATCGAGGGCACCTTTCTCTCAGAGGCGCTTGCAACAAGTACTGAAGGATCCTGAGTCTCAGGAGTCGCATAGGGCAGGGCTGACGGAAGCCAAGGCTGAAGGCTCCACCCTGAAACCCCGCCCCATCAGGAAAGCTGCCTGCGAAAATGCCTAAACCAAATAGATCACAAACGAAAGAAATGGAGGACAAAAAGCGACTGGATATAGAGTTCAAAACCACACTTATAAAGTTGTTCAAGAATCTCCTTGAAAAGGCCGATAAAATAAAAAAGACCTATGAGGATATGAAAAGGGAATCAACTAGAAATAATAAGGGATCAACAAGAAATAAAGAATACATTGTCTGAAATAAATAATATTTTATGGAGTCCTAAAAACAGAATGGAAGATCGCAAGAATCAAGTCAAAGATTTGGAACATAAAGAGCCAGAAGACACTCCTCCGCAGACGCAAGAAGGCCAGAGAATCCAGAAAGTTGAAGATAATGAAAGAAACCTCTGGGACAACTTCAAGCGAACCAACATCAGAATTATGGGGGTCCCAGAAGATGATAGAGAGCAAGATATCGAAAACATACTGAAAGAAATAGTGACAGAAAACTTCCCCCACCTGATGAAAGAATTAGACTTACAAGCCCAAGAAGCGCACAGAACTCCAAACAAAAGGAATCCAAGGAGGACCACACCAAGACAAATCATAATTAAGATTCCAAGAGCAAAAGACAAAGAGAGAATATTAAAAGAAGCAAGAGCAAAGAAGGTAGTTACCTATAAAGGAGCACCTATACGACTGTCAGCTGATTTCTCAACAGAAACCATGCAGGCCAGACAGGAATGGCAAGAAATATTCAAGGTGATGAATAGTAAGAACCTACAGCCAAAGATAATCTATCCAGCAAAGCTATCACTCAGATTCAAAGGTCAGATAAAGAGCTTCACTAATAAAAAAAAGCTAAAGGAGTTCATCACCACCAAACCAGAATTATATGAATTGCTGAAGGGGGTTCTTTCAGAAGAGAAAGTAAATAAAGATAAAAATTATAAACAACAAATACGTAACTATCAACAAGTGAATCTAAAAACCAAGGAAATTAAAAAAAATCTGATGAACAATATTAACTGTTGAACATAATAGAATCAGAGGTATGGAAGGGGAGTGAACTGTTTATTCTTGGGGAAAAGGGGAAGGGGGATGTGGGAAGAGACTGAACATAAACTGTGCACCTATGGATGAGGACAATGGGGGGTGGGGAAAGGGCAGAGGGTGGGGTGAGAAGGGGGGGGAAAGGAACATTTGTAATAATATGAACATTAAAAATTTATTAAAAAAATAAATCCAGGTGAATTAACCTCAAAAAAAATAAAAAAAAATAATAATAAAAAAATCTCTCTCTCTCCCTCTCTCTCTCTCAAATTTCTATTATGGTATCAGCAATGATATCTAAAGCAATTTGTAATTCCAGTCCTTCATCTCTAAATCAAATTACATTAGTATACACAATTAAATATTAAATAGAGTGACATGCTCTATTTTTTTAAAGATATTTTTAGAAAAATAATTTGATTTGCAAAGGCTTGAAATATAATTTATGATAAAGCCAAAATTTATATCACAGGAGTAATTTAATTTCAAAAAATATTTCATTACATAATTAGTGAAATGGTTACTAAAGCAAGAGTTCTCTAAATGCCCCTACTGAACTAAAAGTGGGGAACATGTGGGCACATTTTGTGGAGTTGCAGAATAAAGAGAGTAATATCCAGTTCTGAACAGCCCTTGCCGCAACCCTAACTTTTAAGGGTATTAGGAAAGAATGTGGTATGATCAGAAAGGAAATGAAAAAGGGAAGGAAAGGTTAAAAAAAGAAAGAACGAAAGGAAGAAAGAAATGAAAAAAGAAAGAAAGACACCTCACATCTCTACATTTGCTACATTTACTGATCTTTCGTCAGAAACAGGAATTATTTTCCTTAGTACACATCTACACATCGACATTGGAAATACTTCTTCTCAGGGATACATTGCAGTTTGGAATCTGGGTAAACTGCTTCTTCTCATCCTCTCCAGAAAGCTACCATGGAATTTCTTACTACCCTTTTAAAAAAAAAATCTTTATTGTCCCCTTTTTCCCTCCCATTGACCCTTACACCCCACACCACCTCCATACTGCAGGATTGTCTGTGCCCATGGGTTATGCATATTCTATGTAATAAAAGGCTAATATACAAATAGACTGAACAGCAGAACAACCAAATAACCAGTCACTATGATGTATGCTGACCACCAGGGGGTGAGTGTGGAACATGGTGGGCCTCAGCTGCAGCAGGATGGTGGAGGAGGTGAGTGGGGGCACCAGACTAAGGTCGGATGCTGGTTGCTGTCATCAGGGCAAGCCTTTGGTGGTTACTGAAAAATCTTTGCTCCTGTGCACCATGGTCCCACCCAGTGCTCACACCTGCTGCCAGTACCTGAATTGCTCAGCGCCGTCAGTGGGTGCTGGCCACAGTTGCCTCTCAGGGCTTCTCCACCTCCCCCTGCTCCAATGGAGCAGCAGCGGGCTTTTGTACCTGCTGCTGGCACCAGCTCCAATCGCTTCACGTCTCCGTCAGTGGGAGCAAGTGGGGCTAGTGCCATCAACGTGTGGGAGCAGTGGTGGTGGGATCAAGGCTGCCAGCAGACAGGTGACGAGGGGCCGTGGCTAGAGGGGCTAGGTAGGAGCACAGAGGATGGGCTGAGACCTGCCCCTGTGCCCACTGCAGTCTCGTGGCTCACAGTTCCGTTTAAGGTGCTAGTCCATATAATAAACCCTAATATGCAAATTGATTGAACAGTAGAACAACCAGTCGCTATGACATGCACTGACTACCAGGGGGCAGATGCTCAATGCAGGAGCTGCCCCTTGCTGGTGAATGCACTCCCACAGGAGGAGCAGCGCTCAGCCAGAAGCCGGGCTCAGGGATGGCGAGCTCAGTGGCAGCAGTGAGAGCCTCTCCCACCTCTGTTGCAGGCAGATGGTAAAGAGTGAAGAGTCCTGGACTGTGAGAACCCTGGACTCGGAGAGGAATGTCTGACTGCCATGTTATGCTGATATCCCCCAGGGGTCCGGGTCTGGGAGAAGGTGCAGGCTGGGCTGAGCCCTCTGCCACTCTGCCCCACAAATTTCATGTATCAGGCCTCTAGTATGCATATAAATTATTTGATTAATCTCTTCCTGCCCCCTCTTACTGCCTTTTCATAAAAGAGAATTGCAAATTGACCCTTTTCTCACCCCAAGAAAAATCTGCTTGAAGTACATGTCTGTCTCCCTTGAGCTGCCCCACATCTTGAGAAGTGTAGGTAAGCCACAGATGCTGCTCCAAGGCAGAGTTCTTTGGCTCCTTGACTTGGCATTGGGTGTACCCCACCCCTTTTTCTTAGCCAAATGGCCTTGAGGCTTCTTCTCAAAATAGCTTACCAAGAGTTCCTAGTTATTTTGTTCATTTTCTCCTAACTTCTTCCTTCTTATAAACCTGTCCTCTCTTTCAGTGCTCTCTAATTTTGTTGGGCTTAGTTACCACAATAAATAAAAAAATCCCTCAAATAATTCCTCACTGTTGCCGAAACTGGTTTGGCTCAGTGGATAGAGCATTGGCCTGCAGACTGAAAGGTCCTGGGTTCGATTCCAGTCAATGGCATGTACCTTGGTTGCGGGCACATCCCCAGTAGGGTGTGTGCAAGATGCAGCTGATCGGTGATTCTCTCTCATCGATGTTTCTAACTCTGTATCTCTCTTTCTTCCTCTCTGTGAAAAATCAATAAAATATATTTTTTAAAAAGTAATTCCTCACTGCAATGTTATGTAAATCACTGAACTCATTCGCTTTAGTGTTTAAGCAGCTGTGTATTATGGCCATGGTACAAAGAGGTAAAGGCTATCCTAAAACAATTTTTTTTTCTTAAAGAGTTTAAAAAAGAGTATATATATATATATATTTTACTCATAAATTATTTAGATTCTGAAAAGGAAAGTCTACTGGTACCAAGACATTTTGTGGCTGATTACAGTAGTTAAGTAAACTGATTGGGGCGGCAGAGGGGGAAGGAAAGGTGCACTCCGTGAAGAAATGGGTGGCTTCTGGATATTTTATATTCTTCCTATAAGGGTAGAAAGAGCTTTCTAAGGAAGGTTTTGAATTAGACAATATATCGTATGACTACTTACTTGGGTGTCCTTCAATAAGCCCTCTCACCAATCTGCACTTTGTTTATTTACGTGAAAATGAGGAATAAAATTTACTTCGCAACATTTCTATAAGGATTGCATGAGAAAATGTAAGAGAAATCTCCTTCGTAGTAAGAGTTCCTTAAAGGTTAGTTGGTGCTACTGCTGCTTCCGAGAATGGGCCGTGCCTTACTCCACAATTCCAGAAACTTTGTTTTTTGTAATTTAACACCCTCGGTTGTAAAGGATGAGAAGCATAAACAGTTTTATATCTAAGACTCACTTATTTGGACAAACAAGTAAACAAACAAACCCCGCTTTAAATTTTAGATAGGCAAAATACACTTAACTGGTGGCGGGACCCACTTTGAAAGCACCCCCACTCAGTTCTCACTCCGGGGGATTATGGGAAGTGTAGTCCTGCGTTCCAGTGGGATGAGTACAGAAAAGCGGGTAGGAAACTACAATTCCCAGAAATCAAGCGGGACTATTTCCCTGTCCGGAGGTAGCGCTGTGGGAGGGAATTGGCGATCTCGCTGCCTACGTGGGAGAAGGAGGGTTGGGGGAAGTGTGGAGGATCTGAACCTGAGCCACTGCTGCCAGAAGAAGATTTGGTGGGAGGAAAAGTAGAAGGGAAAAGAGGGGTGGGAGGTGAGGTGAAGAGGGGATTTAGGTCGCTGCTCCCGGGCGGCACAAAGTTCCTGACGATGTGGCTGAAGCCTGAGGAGGTGCTCCTGAAAAATGCGCTGAAGCTGTGGGTGATGGAAAGGTCCAATGACTACTTCGTGCTGCAACGGCGTCGGGGCCACGGGGAAGACGGCGGAGGGGGATTCACAGGTAAGGTGTCGCCACCCTCACCCGCCTCCGGGCCGTGGTTGCCGGTACTTAGAAGGTGGGGAGGAGAACAGTTACTCGTCGCCACCCACCTCCGGATCCTAACCCCTGGGCGGAGGACCGGGGTTCTTCTCCTGCCACCACCTTTGCGTTGCTCTCCTCGAGTCCTGAGAATGCACCCCTGGATCTGCAGGTGCGCTTTGGATGGGACAGCGAAAGGGAGGACGGATTATTTCTGAGGCAAAGTACCTTCCCTGTCGCTTCGCATGGGGGAGGGGGCTGATGAGTGTTAGACCTGCACGGATCGCGTTTAGGCTGGTGAGCGGGGCCAATTCGCAGTTTTGGACTTAAATAGATTCACAAAATCCCTATTGATAATCACTACCCTGAGGAGTGTAAGTGTGTGTGGGGAGGGGGGGGGAAAGGAGAAGGCAGGGAGGATAGTGAGAAAGGAAGGAGCCCCATCACATTCTGAAGGACTGGCTTCAAATGAGAGAGTCAGGAGTGAGGGGAGGGCGAGGGAGAGGTCTATCAAATCGCTGACCTCTTCCAATTTAGCATCTTTTACATTGTCTATATAAGGTTTCAATCTTTGGGCTAAGTAACCATCGCAGTTTACTTCTGTCTTGAGTGCTTTGGTACTGCCCTTTCTTTCAACTCCACAATTGTAAGCAAACCAATTAAAGCAACGGAAGTTTTAACTCTTCCTGCCTAATCCATCTTTCTTTCAATTCTTTGATTTACAAAGCAAGAACTATTCCTTGATCAAGTGCTTAAAGCCACCAAAGAATTTGATTTTCAGACCCCTCCACTGGGGTAGGAGCATTCAGAGTTTTGGACATTGCTAAGACCAGAGCTCTTTTTTGTGTGTGACACATTCTAGTTTGGTGTTGTGGCCTTGAAGTGGCAGACCAGGCTTAATTTAGGCAGTATGAGTAGCAGAAAGAAGGAAGAATCAGAAACTCTGCCTTTTAGTCCCATTTGAATCTCTTGTTAAATGGCATTTGACAAATCAATTTTTTTTAATTTATTCAACCATAAGTGCCTACTAGGTGCCTCATGGAATGCCTAATCCTCCTAAGTGGGAGAGGGTCAGGCTAAGAGGAAGTAACCAGTAATCCAGGCAAATTATAATTATAATCAGTAACTAGTAAACCAGCTAAATTATAATTAGAATCAAATAACTGAAGGGTTGAATAAAGATTCCTGGAGGAGATGACATTGCTTTTCCTCTTCTGCAAAATGGTGTTTATCTCAAAGAGTTGAGAGGATAAAATGAAAGCTAATAGGTGCCAAATCAATGTACTATGTTGTTAAGATGTGTACTGCTATTTCCTTTTTTCAAGCCACACCCAGAGTGGAAATAATTTTGAGTTTCTACAAGGACATTAAAAAAAAAATCTTGCAAGACCTATCTTATCCAGCTTCTAAAAAGGCTCTTTAGAAAATATGGCAAAGAAAATTGCCTCATTAGATTAACATTTTTTTTTTTTTAGTTTTCTGGTTTTTAAAAGTTGTGTTATTTCTCAGAGGAATCTTTCCATTTAACAGATACATATATTTTCCAGATTAAAATTTGAGAATCAATCTTCATCATTACCCAGTGATATAATTTATCCTCTTAGTCTACTGAGAACAAGTCAAAATATATTTAAATAGATCCTTATAACCCCGTGTTACAGCATAATATTTTGTTTCCCAATCATTCTATTTGACCAGAATTTTTCTGATGTTCTTGCCCACATTTACCCAAATTAAGAAGTGTATTTTCCTTTTGACAATCATATTCCTGAAAAAATAATAGGCAAGTCATTCTTGAGAATCCTATCGCTGTAATATATTAAATGGTTTTTTACTTGTTGCACATTTCCTTTAAATGATCACTCCTTGTTTTCTGTGTTTGATTTTTCATTTGACATGCTTTCTTAAAGCATAGACCAATTGCACCAGTTTCTTATCTCTGACCCATCCACTTTCATTTATTCTTCCCCATATTTCTAGACTAAGAGATTTGTCTGAAAAAATGAACCAAGATTTCTACCACACATGTCTGTTGAGAATATCCATAGCCAAATTTTTGTGGTCAGTTTATATCTCTGCATGATTGTTTTTACTTGTGGTATTGTCAAGATGCTTGAAATTACCAAGTGAGAGCTGCCACTATATTTCATGTAAATTAAACAATGGGTAAGAAAAGAGTAAAGATATGTTGTTTTTGTTAATCTTCACCTCACAAGGATATTTTTCCATTGATTTTTAGAGAGACTGGAAGGGAGGAGGAGAGACAGAGACAGAGAAACATGGATGTGCCATCAATTGGTTGCCTCCCGCATGCGCCCCATCCAGAGCCTTTCATGGCCCATGCTCTGTCCGCTGAGCCAAACCAACTAGGGCAAGAGGTGTTTGTTTTGGGGGGGTGTCTAGAGCTAAATAAAGTGTGTGCTAGTTTTCATGGCTGCTCAATTACCTTATTCTTACTAAGATTGTGAAGCCAAGAGCTTTGCTGTGCTTTATTACACATCCACATGTGGATTAGCTCCCACAGGAGTTTGACTATTACCAGCATAAGCTTGCCTTTGTCCATTTTGTTTGCTAAAACCCAGTGTTACATTCTACTCCTTTAAAAGATTCATTTATACATTTTGTTTGATGAAGAAAAGATAATGACCATCTCAAAATATTAATAGTTGTACTATCTTTAAGATTTCATTTCTTTGCCTTGTAATAATTGGCAATAACCACCAGCAATGTAATGACTTTTACTGTGGAGTTGGTGACTTTATTTTTTCTAATAATGGAATTGGAGCAATAGAGAACCCTAGTATGGTTATAATAGGAGACTAATTTGGAAGTTAGAATTCTGAGGTCCTTTTTAAAATTCTGAAACACTTTTGGTGGATATCTGATAGATTATTTATCATTTGTCTAACTTTATCTTACTTAATTGTCCTGGTTCCCAGCAGAGTGAAATATCTTGTGGAAATTTTTGTTATACATAAGATTAGTTTAATATAGTTATTTTCTTTCATTTAGATAAGTAATTCACCATTCAGGATTTTTTGTACTTACCTTACATTATCCCTTGTTCCTCCTGCCTGATTAAGGATAATTCTCTTCTATAGCATCTAAATTTAGCACCTCATTTTATGTGATTAAAAATAATTATGCATATCTGGCTTATTAGGTACAAGTGAATTTGCTCTGCTTTTCAAATGGGAGCTACTACCTGAGTGGAATTATGGTGCTGCATTCTATTAAGAACTTTAGTGTATGGGATTTAGGAAGATCTGACAAACAGGAACACAGAGTGCTTTTCTATCCCCAAGGGTTACCCTAGAGCAGTGGTGGGCAAACTCATTAGTCAACAGAGCCAAATATCAACAGTACAATAATTGAAATTCTCAAATAGAACTTTTACAGATGTAAATATCACTTGTTGTCTTACTGAGTGGTATTAAAGAGTACATATAACTTTAGTTATCTTATGTTTTTAAAAACATAATAATTAAAGAAGTAAAGATTCAGTTGTTGAAATCCCATACCTCTGTTGTACAGTAGTAGAACGACTATGGCTGTAAAGTAAGTTAAAAAGTAATAGCAAAATAAAGAGCATTGTAATGTTTACCATGTTGTATAGCTATGACATGGATTTTTACATTACCTTTGTGTTAGAAAATTTGCCCAGTTTTCTACCTCTTGCTGCTGCTATATAAGCACAAAAGGAAATGTAATGGAACAAGATACATTCATTCAACAGATAAGTACAGGTGCCTTCTAAAAACCAAACAAACACTGTTTTAAGTGCTAGCAATAACAACAGTGAGCTAAACAAAATCCCTGTTCTCATGGAGCTAACATATTAGTTGAGGAAGGCAAATAAAAAAATAATGTATTATATGGCTGGTGGTGATGAGCCATATGAGGAAAAATAAAGTAAGGTATAAGGATAGAGAAGGTATTTTAGAAAAATTTGGTTTGAGAAGGCTTATTAAGTAATATAAGAGCAGAGACCAGAGGGACTAGAATATATGAGCCTAGCAGGTATTTGGGATCAGAGTGAATATAAATATATAAATTTTTTCTAGAAATTTTACTGTGAAGGAAAGCTGAGAAATGGGTGGTAGCTGGCTACTGTGCTGGATGTTGGGTATATAGTGTTGAATAAAACAAAGTATTCCTACCCTCACACAGTTTATAATCTAGTAGGTCAGACAGATAATAAATAAGTAAGCAAACTATATAATTACTAAGGTTGTCAATAATATCAGCCCGGTTTGGGTAGCTTTTAAATAGTCACAAATAAGGGGTATTTGAAATTCCAAAAACAATTTTCCAAGGCCAGCTCTGGTGTAAAGTATGCTGATAAGATGTCCTGTTAAATGATACAAAGATTTCCTAAAAATAGTAGTTAATAACAATAGGTGGTATTCTGCTGGCAGAATTCCAGTGTGACATCTGTGGCACAATTTGCCAAAAACCAGTTTGGATTGTTTTTGAATTAAATCAGCCATCTATGAGCACTAACAGTATCTGGGATGGGATGGAAAGGCATTCTAATTGGGAGGAATAACATTCCAAAAATGGCAGTTATTGGGGACTTAGCAGTTATTCCATATTCATTTACTTATGATTGAGAATAAGAGAATCAAGAAATAGTGCCCTTAGCAATTAGAAAAGGTTAAAGAGCAGTGACCTCATCTATGGAAGATGGAAACCTGAGATAGAAAAGTAAAGGGACCTGAGAATTAAACCTTTGTTATTTTTGTTCTACTGCTCTTTCCACTCCAGCCGAGGTGGTCTCATTTTTCTCCCCCATTCCAGTAAAAATAAGTGAATTTTTAAAACAAGGGATAATCACATTTGTTGATTTTTATAATTGTTGTCCTCTTATATTAAACTTACCAAATTAATTGTCAGCTTTAGTTTTTCTAAATAATGTTTTTAAAGGACTGTACTGTATATGAATTTATTCATTTGTGGCCACACTTACTTATTGCTTTGCA